ATCCCACACCAAAAACGAGTTTGCTTAGAGTTAACTCGAAAGCACCGAGTGAACTCGTAAACTCGACCGAGTGAACTCATAAACTTGACCGAGTTAACGAGTTAACTCGCGAGTTCGATAACCATGGTTATGAATGTCACTCAAACAAAAGATTTACAAAAATAAGACCTATAATTTTAATATACAACCATCTTACACACATGGGCATACCATAACTTGTGAGATGGTTAAGGATTACCATGATAAGTTTTACCGTTGAATTTTGCATTTGAGTTTTTGATATGATGTATCTTAGTGAAAATTTTAAGTATTGCAAAGGTCGAATTGGTCTTTCTCAATCTTTCACCGTTGTTGATCGATTATTATTTTCATCTAAGCCAGTTTATCTTGATTTTCAATTTGTAATGGACTATCTCGTCTCGACCTTCAGTCTCTCTAACTCGACGAATTTCATCTCAACTCGGTTCAATAATAACTTTTGTATGGACTAACTCAATTCAACTTTTTTTATTTAGGTTGGCTCGACTTGAATTTTAACTTAGGTTAAAAATGTTGTTTTTGAGAGTTAATTAAATTCTTATAATAGGGTCAAACTAGAATGACAAAATGGATCAGCCTAATCCATTTTAGCCTATTGTTGCTAACCTGCCAACATAAAAAAACAGGTTAAGTTTAAAGGTTAAATATGTCCCGCCATTGAGATGCTGGCCTACTGGTTATTTTTTGCATTTTTTATTTTATATGAGAAAGTTTCAACTCCAAAACTCTCATCATAAGAGCAACTAAGGAATTGTAACTCAATCAAATTGAAACCAAGTTAAAAATGTAAAATCATAATTTGGCCTAAATTGTACCTGAATCAAGGCTTATTGAAATCAAATGAGATTGCTCAAGAATATTTTGTAATTCTCAAACTCTCTAAATAAAATCACATCGCTTTGTTTCGTTCACTCTCTTTGTGATTCATTTTCTCTCAAAACCTTGGTGGTAACTTATAACTAAAAAGCACTTGCCTTATCTTCCTCTAAAGAACATATATGCTCTTCTACCTTCCAGTTATGCGTAATTTCTCATTTCTCTCTCATTTTCATTGAAAACAAAAAAGAAAATCTCTGAAAGTTTTACCAAAAAGTCGAGCCTTGACATACACAATAAAGTCATAATACTTTTGTCGTTGTTGTTGAACAATGATTTACCTATTTTCCATTATACACTTTGTTTGTGAACAACTCATTCTTTTTCTATTTGTCTACATATGCGTTTGACGACATTCAAGCAATGGAGGAAATCTAAGAGTTTCTAGTGGAGTGAGATATTGGACTTAATAATACGGGTGAATGAGTTGGCTTATCCCACCCCGCTTGTAGACCAGGCATCTAAAGACTGGTGGGTTCAAAAATATAACCTAATTCATCTTTATTTGGTTGGGTTGACAGGATGGCTCGTTGGGTCTAGTCCACTTTGTCATCTTTAGGTCAAGCTCATTCTGATTCTAACCTTAATCTAAAAATTTAAAAGTTTGGGCTTTATTTGATCTCTTGTTTAGTGACCCTATAAAAAAGATTTATTTATAAGTAAATTAGAATGAATGCATGTATTATGATGAAATTAACAACTCTACTCAAAATTTATATTATATTATTTCAAAAAGTTTATATATTTAAAAATTCATACATTCTTAACCTTACCTTCTTAAAATGGGTAACAAAAAAGAAAAGGTAAACCTTACGTACATCAAGGTTTAGATCTTATTTGAACTTTCTGTATGTATTTGATTTTAAAACTTATGATATTTTTTTATGAACGATAAGGGAATATAAGTTCTTTTAGTGTTTGATTTATTTATTTTTATCTTTTTATCATATGAGAAGCTTTGATTAAATTATGAAAAGTTTGCACAATGCTAAGTTCTTAAACAACAATGATCTGATACACAATTGACTTTCATAAATATTTATGTAAAACTCAAATTTATTTATCATTCCTTTTTATTTTTCAACTTTAATGCTTTATAAAATTATATTATACATTATAATTTTTTTTGTAATTGCTTTTCAACATATTTACTGTTTTTTTATTAATGTTATAAATTTTGTTGATTTTATAATTTAAATTTAATTAATAATCTAATCTTATATGTAGATCTATGGTTTATTTTTATCTTTATATATATTTTTTTACATAATTAGTTTTTATATTTTTCACGTCCGATTTTAACAATACATGCTTAATTCAGAATCTTTTTATTTAATAATAGTACTTCTATATTAAACTCAACACGAAAAAAAAATATAGTTCTTTTTTGTCAGTCAAGAGAAGAAGGCAAGTTTGATGAAAAAACATCATAGAGACATAGTACGGGGATTTCATAATCGTTTTCATAAGCAACATTCAAGTCAAATAAACTTAATCAAAGCAACATTCTTAACCCATAACATAGTATAAAATGCTTTTTTTAAATAAAAAAAAACACTCAATCCATAACATAGTATAAAATGCTTTTTTTCTAAAAACAAAAAACACTCAATGATATATCACTTATTTTTATTTTATAAAATTAAAGTAACGAGTTTGGAATAGTTTTACCAAATTTTCATAATTTACTCTAAAAATTTCATATTAATTAATGATGAAACTAATTTATAATATACAAATATAAATTAATTTTATGAGATTAAATTAAATTTAAAATTATTTCTTACTATTTCTTATTAATGTTTATTTTTCCTTGTCTAAATTATACAAAAGTATATGATCCTCATTTTCTCCATCGCATATCTTCTTTACCAAATCCATCCCTTTTCCTCGCCATAACCCCGCATCACAACCTTCATCACTATCAGTAACATGAAAGGGGTTGGTAATTGGTGGTCCAAGTCCAAAGTGGCCACTAATTGGAGATAGCAACGGATAATGTTCCATATCTATTTTTTTTTTCCTTTTCTTTCTTTTTCTCCATGACTAACTTTTTATTTATATCTTTCTGCATATGTGTCAATGTTTTGTCAAACTGAAAATAATCAATTGAGTTTGAGATTGTTTTTCACATACCTAGTAGAACACACTTCATAGATATTTATCTATTGAGATAATTTTATATTTTATTTTTAATTTCATTTTTTAAAAATATTCTTTTAAAACAAAATATTAATCTGGTAGCTTCCACTCTCATTATCTTGGTAATACGAAATCTTGATTTACTTTTTTTACTTTAAGTTTACTATATTGTATCATTTTTTTTATTTCATCCAATTTCTTAAATATCATTATCTTCATAATACGAAATCTTGATTTTGTAACACACAATACTGGTTAAATAATTTTTTATTTCATCCAATTTCTTAAATAATTTTCATTATAATAATAGTTTTTAATATCTTAAAAAAAGTATCAATATAATTTTTTTCATCAGACTAACATAATATTAAACTAACTTTATTTAATTATAAAACATTTGGTATATATGTAAGTGTCATTTTTCTAATATGGTTACTATTAATTGGACTAGAAAAATATATTGACTTATTTTTTAAAAAACTTGTAACTAAATTAAAAGTGATTGAAAAAAATAAAAAATTTACTATGATAAAAAAAATATTTAACCTTTGTTATTATAATAGAAAATAACATCATTCAACTTAGATATTAGATATATCCATACGAATTGGAATGCCTTATGCTTGGGAGAAGAAATTAAATGCTTCCCACATGATGGTGACTATCTTCTCTGCCACAGACCAATAAAAAGGAATATCTTTGTTTCTTATGGCATCAAACTAAACGTCAATGTAACAGAATATCTTAGTTGCAGGCCTGACCGTCTAAACGCCGTCACTATTAACGAGGGGTCCTGTCCTTTTCTCAGTTGTTAAGTCACCCAATCACAAAATGACACTATCCCCAAACGTCATTCAACTTATGATTTTGTTTTGATAAATACATTCGACCTTTTTTTACGAAGAATAAAATATATTTTTTTATATTTCCAAAAGGATACATTAAGCCCAAACACAGTAAAATAGACATGACCTAATAGTCCATTCTATAATTCCTAAAATGATTTGTAAATTAAAAAAAAAAAATAGTGTAGGTTAAAATTAGTCAAATTTGATATCATTATTTAATAGGTGACTATAATGAATTTGAATACACTCCTCTTATAATTATTTATACTATTGAATACATGATACTTTTTTTAAATCCATTTTAATATGATTTATGGTAATTCTATATTTTAATAGAAGAAGATAAATTTTTTAACTATCTTCTATTGTGATTTTTAATCAAATAAATTTAATTTTAACTAATAAAATTATTTTTTAACCGTAATTGTTAACTTTTCCGCTTAAAATCTCTAACGTGTGCTTTTTAAAATTTTAAATAATTTTTATAATTATATTTCTCCTAAACTGGATTTTTTAAATTAAAAAATGTAGATATATAGACATACAGGACCGTTATGTGTTTTTGCTGGTAATCATTATTTAAATGATTAAAAAAATATTATTTTATTAAATCAGTTTAAAATTTATATACCAAATTACTATATCTCAAAATTGAATTTATTTATTTATGTAATTTACTCTTAAGAAATAAATATGTTACTTAATTTTAAATTCATTCTTTTTTAAACTTTAAATAGACTCAAAATATTAGTCCAATCTAGAATTCGGTCCTATCAATTTGTTTTATTTATTTAGAAATTAACTCCGTGGAATAGTCCATTTTACTAAATGTAATGAAGACGACAAGGATGAGCTGAGTCTTGCATTTACATCATTATATCTTGAATTCTATTAGTAGTTTTATCTTATAAATAATAAAATGTAAATTTAATTATAAATAGTTTATAATTTTCCTTAATTTTGTCAACCAAACATGTCTTTCCTTGAAAAAAAGCAAAATAATAGTTACATAAATTTTGGAAAAGGGGGTGAAATAATTCATAGCATTTTTTTATATTTTTTTTTTCCGCCGCAAGCTCGGCAGCAAAGGCTTAGAATTTTCTTACATTAATTGAATTTCAGTTTTCTAATTTTCATACACTTTTTCGTTTGCTCCTTTACCTTGCACAGAAGAAGAATATCAAGCACCGTCCAAAGGTTTTCACCGTCATCTCTTCTCTTTTCTCTTCTGCTCTTTGCGCACACACATGCATAAGCATTAACTTATCTTACACGCTTTTTTTTGTTTTTCGAGATCTGTGCTCAGTCCTTCACTTCTTTTCCTTGCTTCTGCAGACGAGCTTTCCCTTGCGCCGGTGAGTTTCTCTCTTCGCTGCTTTCACTTCACACTCACACGGCGTCGTTTCACTTGCGATTGTGGAACTGGCTACGCTGGATTTGTTCTGGTTTTGTCGTGTCCCGATCACTAACTTTCCGTGTTTGCGACGTTTTTAACAAACTTCTGCGGAGCGCTTTTTTTGTAACCATTTGAGGTGGCGAGTGATGGTTTTCAAACCTCCGTTCTCTAAAGAGTAGATTATGGATTCGAATTGATTAGATCTGCGGTCATTTTCGTATTCTTTTTTTTTCCGACGGTTTTTTTCTGCTTTCTGTTTGCCTTTTGTACTCTTTGGAAACGGAAACGGAAACATGTCCTGGTTTGATTTCAAAAACAAATTATTCGATTCCCTGATTCATCTATTAAACTTTTATATATGACTAAGAAGTGTGGGTGATGGTCTTTGGAGCTGAATGGCAAATTTATTTTCTTTACCGTTTCAGAATTGCCACCTGTTATGGTTGAAACAGACATGGAGAACGAAACTGTAAGTAATATATCTTTTGCTTTCATTCTTTATTTTATTTTATTAGATTGGAAAAATAAGCTAGGGGCATCTATGTTATTTAATTAATTTATATATATGGTGTGATTATACTTTCGTGATCTCATTATAATATTAGTTTTTAGTAACGTGCTTTTTGGTAATCTCAGAAAGGTTCAATTGTAAGCATTTCTTTTTTTTATCTTTTAAGTTGTCTATAGTATATAGTTGCGATTTAGACATGATATTATGCCAAGCCGCCGTAGATTGCGCCTGATGGGGAAAATAAATTGAGAAATAACGTTCCTATTTAGTCACTGATATTTGGAAAAACTTTTGTATTGTTGATTGGTGCTATTTTCAGGCTGCAAACGTGGTTCCGTCAAAGGAGACTCCAAACAAGGATCCCGTTTCTCATCAGTCCTCACATCCTCCTCTTAATGAAAGGATTATATCATCTATGACCAGGAGATCTGTTGCTGCTCACCCGTGGCATGACCTTGAGATAGGTACGCAACTAAGCATTAAAAAATTGGTGAAAATGGTGACTTGTTATGTTGATTACAATCCAACTAGTTTTAGACCCCAATCAACATCAATCAATATATTCAAGAATAAGAAAACAATACAAGTGGGGGAGTAGTGGAGCCAAACTCACGAAAAAATTATGAGAATACAAAATAAGACAAATTAATTTTTTTTTAAAAAAAAAACAGCACTAAGAAAGGAGGAATACTATCTCACCAGTAATAATAAAAAAACGTTTACTACAGTCGTAGAATCACTCTCAATCCAAAGGCTAAACCAATATTTCCTATGAACAATCTCAATAGCATCATGCATCACTCCTAGTAATTCAGCTTCAAGAGAACTATGATGACCAAGAAAAATTGAAAAACAGCCGATAACCTTAGCCTTATAGTCTTGAAAATTTCTCCCCACACTGATATAGGATAATTTAATACCTGATCGATCTAAGTTACACTTTACCAATAACAAAGTCGGGGTAACCAATTTACTTAAGGCATCTTTGGAGCTTTTTTAGGATAACAATCAACAAATGCTTTTAAGATGACAAACTCCTTGATGATAGAATGCATACTTCCGGAGCAACGATTTGCAGCAATGTTATCATATGCATAGGTCAAGTTTTTAATTCTGAAAGTAGGATCTCCTTAAGTTTTCAAGCTCTAAAAGATTCCTGCTGCCATATGTTATCGAGGATATGAATGAATGCAGCCATCAAAACCATTTTAACATTCTCACTCCTTTGTTTATGTAAAATACCCAAAATAGAATCAAGAGATGAGGGTTTAGTTGCTACTCTGTCAAACTAGATAGTCAACTCTAAAACCTGGTGGCAAAAGGGCAGAGAAAAAACCAATGCTCCATAGTGTCATCATGTTGCAAGCAATGGCTGGGCATAAAAACTAAAGTACCGACCCTGCTATGCATAACCTCACCAGTAGGAACCTTGTTATGATCAGTCTCATACTAAAGCAAATATCCTTCGACCAGCTATAAACAGGACCAATCTGGCTTTGAAAGGAATATGTATCCTTGGAAGTAAAAATTCCATTAGCAGTGTGTGCCCACTTGAGAGAATCCTGAACATCTATCTTTGGTATTATAATTTTAGATATCTACCCGACAATGTCCCTATGGCTGTCTTGTGAGTACTTCTATTGCATTGAGTTCGTTTTTTCTTCCTTAATTGGTTTCCAAGCTAACTCTGTTTTCTTTCACAATGCAGGGCCTGGCGCTCCAACGATCTTCAATTGTGTAAGAATGACTGAATAGTGAAGTAAACTTTACATTTTAGAGTCTAGGGCATGTAGTTCACATATACCTAGATGAGTAAATTTCTTCAGAAAGGATTTTAAAGGTTAGAACCAAGGAAAATAACAAAGAAAATGCCCTCTGCTCTGTTTTCATTTATTCTTTCATGCTTCTTTTTTCCTCAAATGCTATCGAAATAGTTGGTATAGACTTTGTTGTTTAAGTTGTAGATTATGAAACAAAATTTGCCCCCTTCAACTTCTGATACAACCCTGGTAATACGAATTTGCATGTTATTTGTTAAGTTGTGAAGTTGCAATATTGTTATGTTTCCAAAGGACAGAAAAATTAAGATCTTTAAGTTTATATTTGAGCAATTTTGTAATGTAACTTGACTGAATATTGCAGGTGATTGAGATAGGGAAAGGAAGCAAGGTGAAATACGAGCTGGATAAAAAATCGGGACTTATCAAGGTTGTAACTTGTAATAGTTGCTCAGTTATTTTGGCTTCTGCAGTTACTAAGTCAAGTTGCTAAACACTAATCTATGCACAGATCGATCGCGTGCTTTACTCATCGGTTGTTTATCCTCACAACTATGGTTTTATCCCACGTACTATTTGTGAGGACAGTGATCCCCTGGATGTCTTGATCATCATGCAGGTATTTATATATCCATTCATATTATCAACCTTTCATTGAAAATCAGCGGCATCGTGTATCTCTTTTTGGCAACAATCGAACTTCATTGACATATACATCCCTTCGATTTTCTGCATCTCATTTTCTTAATGAAGTAATCTCTATTAATGTTCAAATCCATTTTAAGCACGAACTTAAATTTATTTTACTATGTTATGCACTGGTGGTTCAAATTTTATGCTAGTCAAGTTGATATCCAATAATGAATTTCTCAATTTCAACTGATGAGTAGAGTCTTCTAGCCAAACAATACTTGGTGATCATCTTACATTTACGGATCTTATTTATCATCTTAGTATTAAATTTCTCTAATTTATGTTGCGTATGCTTTGTATGATACTAAACTTCCCACATACTTGGGCAGGAGCCAGTTCTTCCCGGCTGCTTTCTTCGGGCCAAAGCAATCGGTCTCATGCCCATGATTGATCAGGTATAGTATATCAAACATTAAATTTACCACATGGCAATAACTCAGTCTTTTGCTTATTGAATACTGAGTATCCACTAATTGTGCTGATTTAAAGGGGGAGAAAGATGATAAAATAATCGCTGTCTGTGCTGATGATCCTGAGTATCGTCATTACAATGATATCAAGGAGCTTCCTCCACATCGTTTAGCTGAAATTCGTCGCTTTTTTGAAGACTGTATCCTTCCAAATTTTCAAAATTTGACGCCTGATTCTCAATTTTTTTTATTTTTTATGGTCTATAGACATAATGAAATCATGAAACGCATTGGTCATTTTAGTTCAGCATGTAATAAAAGCTATACATTTTCCTTCACAAAGGATTTATAGACAAGAAGAATGAAAACAAGGAAGTTGCTGTAAACGACTTTTTGCCTGCCTCAGCTGCTTTTGAAGCGGTTAAGAGATCCATGTAAGCAACACTCGTCTTTACTATTTTACTTCAATCATTACTGGTTTGGAAACTCAAGTGGTCCAAAGGTTTTGGATTGAGTTATTCAGTTCTTAGTTCCACACCATGTTCTATTTTCTTTGAAATGGCTTTTTAAATTTGTAGAAAATGTCTTTCAAATTCCCCTATATTATAGTTATTATAGTTATTTTATTGGCATATAGACCTCTATTAGTTTCTTATAAAACTTCTCTTTGTTGAGAAGGAGCTTGTATGCGGACTACATAGTGGAAAGCTTGAGGCGGTAGCCGTTGATGAACATTCACGTCAAGGATTTTGAATGGCGGAACAATTGATGATATTTGCTTGGAAAAAGGCTGCATTATGAATATTATGTTGGAATAAAAAGAAAACATTTTACTTTGGACAGGTGTTCCTTCCTCTTAGCAAATGCTTTTTTTACATGTGCTCAATTTCAAATTCAAATATGTATCCCTGCAATTCAGTCACATGTATCTGCCTCTCAGCATATGCATAATCTTGTCGTGTTCAATTTCGAATGTTTTATCCGTGTATAAATTTATATTCCCTCTTCTAGTACTAGAAAACAGGATCAAGATTGTTAATCTTTATTGGTTTTGTTAGGATGTTAAGAAAACAATAGTGAAATAAGTATATGCACAGTAATATTATGCATTAACCAGTGCTGATATTAACATCTTTGATAATTTATGGTTTGTGAATTGGCTTGGAATCAGTTCAAAACCTTAAGAGGTTAAACGAGATCTCGCATTATTAAATAAATTGCTTTATCATTTTATTGTTAACTTGGGGTGAATTTCCCAACTGCGTGTCTTTCTATTGAAAGCTTTTGCCTATATAACAAGTGTCAGCTTACTCGTATAAAGATAAAAATGGGTTAGGTTATCTTCCCTTATTTCTTAAATTTACAATTTAATCTTAAAACTGTTTGCTTATAATAAATTTAAGCAAGATGCGAGTATTTGTTTATAATAATTTTAATGTGTGAATAAAAATAAATCATGGTTTGGTTATAGAAACCATTTCTCATGCTGTAGCCATTTCTAATTGATATTTGTAGTTTGGATCCATTTTCCATTGTGTATTAGCTGTATTTTGGTGTTTCCTATCTTTTATTATGCTTGTTTTATATGTTATGATGGATGTAGGCCATTTTTTGTGATACTTGGTAGCTATTTTTATGTTATACAGTGTCACATTGGAATTAAAGTAAACAAAAGAGAACGATAAATAAAATTATTTGGTTAGTTTAAGATGAATTCTTCGCTAAAACAATACAATTCAAAATGTTTTCTAATTGTAAAAGTCGTTATTTACACAAAAATAAATTTAAAAAAAAACTTGAAATGATTGATATATCGATGTTATGGATTTTTTTAAAAATAATTATTGATAATTGAAACTTTTGAGTAATTATTCTCAGTTATAAAATAATTATTGATAATTGGAACTTTTATTTTAAATTAATATTTCAATTAAATAATAAAAATAATTCTAAAATATAACTGTAATCGTGAGATGGATTTTGATGAGATGTGTTTTGTGAGTTTGAGAGAAAATCCTGTCTTTTTGTATTTACAGCGTTAAATACATTGCAGTTTATAGAGTTAAATATAGCCTTTTCATTATCCTAATAAAATTTATTTATTTTAGTTAGCTGTTAAATTGCGATTAGTTATTGTAATTATTTGTAACTGAAACTTTTAAATAATTGTTCTCAGTTATAATTTTTAAACTTTTTTTCACGACCATATATGTTAATATAAATTAATTTTTAAGTATATTAAAAGTCCAAGCTGAACTTCTAAAAGTATTGAATAAATCTTAGAAAATATAGAAGTAATATATTAGGCTTGGATTTTGATTTTTTTTTTAAACAATGTTCAGTTAACCTATTCCTATTTCTGCCAATGTGAATTTAGAGAAAATTTTCAATAATTTCTTTAAATTTACTAATAAATCTTTTATGGAAGTGAGTGATAATCAATTGCAATTTGTCAAAGTCAATTTCATTCTGAAAGAGATTAGGTATCTTGAAATGCGTAAAAGAAATTGTCAAAGGGTATATTAATTCAAAGATTTTAATGAATAAATATTGAATTTCCGTATATTAAATATTCAAAAAATACTTTTTATACATTAGATATTTTGTATAAATGAAGTAAATATATATACTTTACTTGTTTTTTTAAACATATTTAAACGGGCAACCCAAACCCGTTTTGTCCGGTTAGTTCCCGCTCCATTAACAAGTAGTTAATATCAAGCAATGCACGAATGTCGAAGGTGTGACGTGTGGGTATAAATAACGATAAAATAACCCATAAACCCTTCACTTCAGAGTCTGCCCTTCATTATTCCCTTTCATTCTAAAACCCTCGTTCTGATTTCGTTCAGTGCGAACTCATATCAAACACCATGAGTGCGTTCCCGAACGGTTCCAACTCGAACTTGGACAACCTGCTCCTGCAAACCATGATGGGCAGGCTCCAGCTGCGAGCTCCGATCAACAACCCTTTGGTTACGCAGTCTCTCGAGGACTTCCTATTCAACGACCTCGACGAGGACGACGCCGACGAAGAGAGCTTCGAAGGGAAGTCGGAGCTGGTGAGGGAGGAGGCTAAGCTGGAGAAGGAAGTGATCAAAATCATCCTCAGCGGCAACGGCGAATCCCTCTTGAAACCCAATTCGGGCCAGGCGGTGTCTGTTAGGGACCACCACATCTGCGTCGGGTTTCAAGACGAAGAGGCTTCTGGGTATCGCGTGTGGGAGTGGCACGGCCACATCATGGCTTTCGACGAGGAATTCGGTTACAATCCTGAGTATATATACGGTAATTACTTTCAGTGGTTTAAGCCTAGACCTGGTTGTGCCTCTGCTGCTGTTGCGGATCCTGTTGTCAAGAAAGAGGAAGAGGAAGAGGTGGAGGAGGAGAAACAGGAGAACCAGGGTTTGAGGGAGTTGATTGAGACCAAGGATTCCGCCGACGCTCGCATTCTTCACAGGAACATCAACGCGGCTTCTCCTAGGTTTGTATCCACTATCCCTTTTCCTTATGCATCTCACTTTTCTCCTGGAATTGTGATTATTCAAATATTATTCAAGTAGCTTACTTATTTAACGGGGTGATTGATTGCTTGAAGAGGGGGGGGGGGGGGGGGGGGGGGGAGGTATAAGGCAAGCCACGCATTCATGGAAGTAAAGTACTTCTAAGACAAGGTTTTTCATAAAAGACTAGTGCCTTATCGTTTTTTCGTGTCAGTCTACATTGAACTGTTGGTTAGCTTTTTATTTTTCCAGACTTTATATGCATAACGGATGTGTGTTTGGTTGAGCGTTACTAAAATTGAGTTTGAAGGAGGGTGTACCTCAGTGAGGGTTTATAAAATTGGCTTTTAATGATATTGATTTTTGTCGAAATTTATTTTCGAATTGTGTGATTACGTGTGGAATTTTTTAATTTAGATGGACGTTACTGTAGATATACTTTTTTTCCAATGCAAAATCTAGCTAAAGGTGTTTCAACTCAATACCAATTTGGAACAAAACAAGTACATGTTTTGAAAAAAAAAAATCATGTTAGCGTGTTAGTAGAATAACAATACGATTCTATGTGATTTAACATGAATTGAAATACCCACTTCATATTGCAAATGGTGACTTTTAGTCTTGTAGATGAGGTTTGCTGGGTGCAAAATTGCAAACTGTTTCCGTGAACGTAGGGGATGGATCTCCCAATGCTGGGATTACAGTTTTTGTCCTTTTAGTTTCATTAGAGTTGGTTTTGGTTGCCCTATTCCAATTATGGTAACCTCTCCCCAGAGTTTTGAAAATTGATGCAAGTCGGTTTTGTTCTTGATGCAGTTGTATCTTCGTTTAAAATGGCTGTCCTTTTTCTTTTGCTGAAATTTGTAGTTTTATGGCCTGACACTCTTAAAGGAAGATTTTTATGTGAATATTACATGGCATTCTACTAATCAATGAGTGACAAAAAATATAATTGAATTTGTTAACTCGGGGGGCGGGGGTCGAAGTTCAGTGAAACTAGGAGAATAACAGTGTAAATAAGCCTTGACTTCAAAAATATACTTAGTTATGCACAGTCCTTAATATTAACTTCTTTGATAACTTGTGGTTTGCGCATTAGCTTGGATACAGTTGAAATTCTTGAATGTTTAAAGGAGACGTTCTCATTAGTAAATAACTTGCTTTAGTTTAATATAGTTAACTTGCTGTGACCTTGCTAACTGTACCAGGACCTTGTTTTTGGAAGCTTTTGCTAGTGTACCAAAGGGTGAATTTAGACAAACTTCTCAAAAAACATTTTTAGTAGAGAAAAGAAGGAAAAAATTAAACAGATTTTTCCGTAAGCTAAAATAAGTTTAAAATAATAGTTTAGGAGAGAAACTATACGTGAACTTTTACAAATTAATTTATGCATACATTAATTTTAGCATATAATAAAGTGCATTCAATTTTTCATTTTTTCTCTTCTCTTCTAGAAGTGTTTATAAAGAAGTTTGTCTAAATAGACTCTAAGTGTATGCTTGTTTTCCATCTCTAAACATTGGCGCCCATCAAACCTGAAGCCGCTACATAAAGTTTGTGGCTTTAACATGAAAATATATATGCCTGTTAAGGATGATGCTAGTCCAAATATACTGCAAGTGTTGGCTTACCAATGAACAGATAAATCATAGATTTACGAGTATTTTCAAACAATAAAATGGCCACATCGTTATAAAAAGAAGCTGGGAAACACCATGGAAGATAAATCCCTTCGTGAATTGAGAAAACAATTCTAACTAGTTTTCAATTTTCATTTTCACTTTCACTTCCTTCTTGTACGATAGTCAATAGCAGTTGCTGTCAGTTTGGCTTGTCCCAGCACTTTCTTAGATAAGTAGGTAGGTAACTTCCATGTTTTAAAAGCACCCTATGTGCTTCGCGCGGTAAAACTTAGTTTTAATTAATTATGCGTCCTCAGAATATCTTTTGATATTCCATTACGTGTTATGCTACAATTTTGCAGTTTTCCCTGAACGCAACTGAAGAACTTTCTTATTTCATGTTTGATTGCATAGAGTACACGCATGCTTCTGAATTTGAACGTTTTGTCATCCACGTTTGACTTCTCTCATGTTTTCCCTATCTGCGATAGCCTGACAGGTACAAGATAAGAATTGATCCTTCATCAGAAATCAAGTTCAAAGAGTTGCCAACAGAGGTCACAGCCAGCCGGCATTTCATTTCCTTTGCTCTGCAAATATTGATTTCTTCTGCTTTTCACAGACTAAATCTCAGAAGACCGCATCTAGGGATCTGTTTGAGCTTTAAATTACATACTGTAAAGGATGTGAAACAGAGATGCTTACAATAATGAATTATCTTTGCTCAGGTTTTGTAGTCTTAGAGCAAGTTTTTGTTTCTCCCATTTGCACTAAAACTAGCTGTTTTGATGGTAGATGCTTGGCTTATGGATAGAAATGAGTTAGCTTTATTTAATTGGTCTTATAAAGTTGCAATTAGCTGGAAGTTTATTTAAAAGCTTAAAATTTTTATAAAGGGCGAATAGAGAATGAATGTAAACTTCACATTTTAAAACAGTTTTGCTATGAATTTTAAATGCTTAACTTGTTAAGAAAATTGAAATAAACTAACAATTATAATATTAAACCATCATTATTATTAAAAGGTTTTTTAAATTGTGCAAAATTGAACATTTTCTATTAATTAAATTTTAAAAAAATTGTGATATGGAAAGTTATTTTATTATGTATCTTCAAAATCTTTAGTATTTTATATTTTATTATGAAAAAAAAGATAGACATTTTGAATATATTATTTTAATGTGTCTTTTGAATTTTTCTGCTTATACCCAATTCTATTTTAATGTTACTTCAATGTGAATAAACTATACATACTTTAACAATAATTTCTATTCGTATTTTAAACTTTTTGTAGCACTTTTGTTATCAATTATATCTAATGTAACAGTTGCTTAACAAAGGAACTACTAACATGTAAAACACCTCCTCATAAATTAAGCGACTTTTGTGATTTATGATACTAACACCTCCTCGATTTTTTTAATATTAAAGAATTTTAATGTGAATAGTTTCATTATGACTGAGTATCATAATCTTAAAATATATTATCTGTCTATAAACCAGTTTCTAGAGCTCTTTGACTTCTCTTTAGAAATTTTTATCATTTATTCATCTGATTGAATAATTAAGATATTAGGATTGATTTTGACGGCAAACGTTTCAATTTGGATTAATAAGTTTCTTAAATAGAGTAAGTTCATTTTCTGATGCTTTTTTTTGTTTTATTTTATCTTCCTTTGATTGCAAGTCTATTGTATATGCAGGTGAAGTTTAAATTTTCTATAAAACTCTTTGTTGACCAGTGGTTCTAATGGTGTACATTAATTGTGTTTCCATGGTCGTAGGAGTATATGAGACTTTGATTGTGTTTATATGGTTCGTAGAAGCAGATATGACTTCCTGCTTGTGGAACTGGTTTAGGTTTTCTATAGCAGTTTGGTTTTCTATAAAGTAAGGAAAACTAACTACCACTTTTTGATGTTGTTGATGATTTGATAAATTGTGTTGCATGTTTGATTAGGTTTGAAATTGTTAAATTGATATGTAGAGTTGCTAAGGTGAATCTTGTTGAATGAACATGGTGTTGATGTTTTGAAATTATGATTTTTAGGATCTGGTTAGTTAGATGTAATGCTAGTCACTTGATATGCTAAATTTTTGTTTGGACTTTGGTTGAAATTGGTTTGATACGATGGATCGAGTCGTTGGCCAAATTAAACAAATTGGTATTCAATATAATGTTTAAACATGTTTTTGAATGAATCATAAGGTCAAGAATACCAATTTAGTAATTTGGATGGTCTTAAGTGCAATCTGGTTTGGTTACTTTGATTTCAAGTGATAGGAAAATTATAACAGTTGATTGTAGGCTTGTATGATAGTTATTTTGTGAAATTTAGTTGTTGGATGAATTTTGACCTGTTGAGTTTAGTTAGGGGCTTTGTATTGTTTTTAATGATTAAATGTTGAAATGTTGGTATACTATGTGATTGATATTACATTTGAGGTGAATTGAGTCATTGGTTTGTGTTTAATTTGATGGTTGGTTGTTTTGAGCATCTGTGGTTAGTGTTAAATTGGTTTTGCAAGACTGAAATGACATAAATATGCATAATCCTATTATGTTATGCAAAATTATGCAGATTCCCTGGGCGAGCTTATTCTCGCTAGGAGAAGTCAAAGTCAGAGATTTCACTAACTTGATATTCGTCGGGCGAGAATATACTTGCTGGGCGACTTTTGGGAAATTTTGTTTGTAAGTTCTAGTAGTTTTCTCGCTACCCGAGTAGATATAGTGCTTGAGTGAGAGTACATTCGCTAAGCGAGCAAGTTTGGTGGTTAAGCAAGTGTATTGACAAGTATTACTAGCCGAGTGAGTAGATTTGGTGGTTGAGCGAAAATATCAAAATTTTAACTAAGTTTACTTATGCGACTTATGATATGTTAATTAATGTATGTGATTATGTGAATGATGAAACCATGCTTGGTTAATAAAATGATTGTGAAACTGTATGGTGTTTATTCAAGTATGAGATTATGATGAATGTGAATATATTTAGTATTTATTTCATACATGGTTATGACGAGTGTTATCGGTTATGTGCATGGGATGTGTGGTTGACATAATTCCATGGATGTCGTTGAAATATTTTATGGTGGTGTTCAGTAGTGTTATGTATTGATGTAGTATTGCTCTGGAATGGAGGATGATCCTGACACTCTTAAAAACTTTCCATTTTCAAGTAGGGTGAGGTATGTCGTGAAAAGTAGCAGGATGTCTTTAGTCTAATGATTATTTCTTGGTCATAAATGTTTGATATATGAACCTTGGTGTGTGATAGTTTGATGTGGGCAAGTTGTTTAACCACACACGAATGCTGGTTAATAGTCATTTATTGGTGATTAATCTCAGACCTAATGGTAAGCTCATTGTAATATTTATAAATATTTGTCTGACAAAAAAGACAGGTAATTTGAACTCTGATAACTAATCTTTATTATAAGATTATTACGCAAAGTCATTGACTTGAGCGTCAAAGTGTCTTCTGTAGATACCCTCCCCCGCAACTTGGACAAGGAGAAGAGAAAGAACAACACAAACGGAAAAATGAAGCGAACAACTTTGAATGCTTTGGGTTAAGGATATCAATCCTATGGAAACACTTATGTTTTTGGAGTTATCTATCATTTCAACAATTTATATATGATATCTTTTCTAATAGTTGTATATTATTAAAATAGAATATTACATTCAAAACAAATTGACTAAAAGCAAATTGAATTCATTGAGTTAATCACTTTAATTACGTAAATTAATTAATATTGTCATATTTTTTATTAACACTTTTATTTTATTAAAGTCAAATAAAATAACATTGTTAATAAAGAAACTATAAAAGAATTATAACAATACTTATATGCAATCCTTTTTACCAAACTAAATTCGAAAAACCAATAAACTAATCTCAAAAATAGTCGATATAATCTCAATTAAGTTTCCACTTCTTTATACAGTTATGCATTACTCTATTTTTTTTATTAAGAATTGTCAAATTGTATGAGGATATAAGTGAAAGGCCTTATTATGTTGGTGATGAGTTTTCAAGACTAAACCCTTTTAGATTCGCAGAAAGAGATTAAATGAAAAAAAAATGAAATTATATTTTAGAATAAATTAAATTATCATTTTCCAAGAGATTGTATGGATTCTATGTTGGTACGGTTACAATGATCTTCCTTAATTGATTAAAAAAATACAAAAGATAAAAAAATAGACGAGTTAAAAATAAAAATAGACGGATAAGATGAAGTAAATAAATTTAAAAATAAAGATAAAAAGGATAAAAATAAAGAAATGATGACGACAAAATATGAAGAGAAAAAAAATCTGAGTATTTTGTTGAACAAAAGATTCAGGATCAAATTCTTACCGACAACATCGAGTTTAATATTTTTTTCCAATTTGAAATAATAATGATTGCAGAAAATAATCCGATTTAATAACTTAAGATGTAATCCATAAAATAAAAAAAGAACTAAAATAAATTCAAACGAAATACTTTAAAAATACAAATATCTAACTTTAAGATAATATAATATGATATAACCCATAAGTTGATGTGGGTAAAGTGAAGATTAGATAAGACGTTGTTTTCGGGATTTCTTTAATAATTAGTTGGGCCAATATATGTTATTGGGCCTGGGCCAATAATGACAGCTGTGAGACAAGGTCAAAAATATCTAAGATCCCCGCGATGAATGCAACGTGTACGTTGGAGATTCGGTCTGGTTAATTACAAGACAACAACATGAAGCTTGACCTTCTAGATTCCTCTCATATAAATTCATTTTTCACCTCCATTCCAAACAACCTACAACCTAATCCAGAATCCTTGTTCTTCATCCGACAACAATTTTCTTCTATCTCTTTTTTCTCCTCCCTTTACGGTGTTTCTGGTCATAGATAGATATATTGTTTGATTCTATCCATGGGTTAAAGTTAAATCTAAATCTGATCTATGCGTTTTAGTGTTGGGTTATTCGATTTGGAATTGCAGTCTTACAATACTCTCCGATTTGATTTGTTGGGCGTGTAAGTCTTTGGGGGTTTCGAAGAGCATAGAATAATGCCTTCGCTACCCGGTCTTCTCCATCTGCTTCCTTCCTTGATCATTTTCCATGGTGGATCTTCCTTTCATCGTCTGAAAAACTTAGAAAAAAGTGATCGGCGTGGTAATCTTAGTTAACGCTACGACTCTCGTTTTCTCCGCTTCTCTTTTCTTTCCCTCTTTATCGTTGTTGTTGTTGGTTCTGCTCCAAACGAGGTGTGATTATTCCGTCAACGGATCGAGATCCAGGGTCTGGTTTTGCTGTTCTTTCTGTGATTGTTGTTATCAGTTCTGTTTAGATAGCGTTGTAGTTGCAGTTTCAAACGTCGTTTTTAAAGGTATTTTTATTTTCAACTTTCAAGTTTTGGGAACATTTACCTTGGGATATCATAGATTAGGTGTCATGTTCTTTTATAGATTTGTTTGTAATGTATGAGTTTGTTGTTACCGTGTTTGAATTCAATGAGCCTTGCCTATTTTGTCCATGTAAGCCATGTTTCTGGTTTATGACTATGCCTCTCTTTGTTTTTGTGTTCAAAATCATGCTGGTATGATTAGATCTGACTCTTGGCGTGGTCATTTAGATTAGAACAATGCGATTATGGAAATAGTTCGATTAGGTTGGATTAATTATACTTAGAAGTTGTAATTAGGAATGTATCATGATGTTATTTCATATTTGATATATTATTTATTTATTTATTGATAGTTATGTAACTTTTTTTATATTCGTATACATTGAGAAACAGTGACCGTGAAAATATTCATGTGACGTACTTTAATTATAGATTGGCCTATAATTGAAATTTTTTAACTTTTGTAATGGTTACTTGAAAGTCATGTAGTCACATTTAACAATATTTCTAGCTGAAGGACTGTGTAAAAAATTGTGTACTGACAGTGGATCAAAGTTAAAGTATTCTCCTTTTTGAAGATTTGATAGACACTAATCAGTTAGCCCTCTTGATAGAGAACAAAAGTGGGGGGCTGTTGGCTCTTATCTTCCAGTACATCTGAGTACACCAGAGTTCATTGATTCAAAACTGTGCCGTTCCTTTTTTATTCATTTGGGTGTACATTAGATGTGTTTTTTCCCTTTATTTTTAATTCTGGTCCACACTATTTCTATATTAATAGTGAAATATATATATGTATTGGGGGAATGTTTTAATTGTTTAGTTTTAGTTCTTTTTTTATAGTTTAGTGTTTTTATTATTCATCTGATATGTTTTTTCTTTTAGGTGCCTCGGTACCTGATACCATTGATGGACATGTGCTCTCATGACAATTTTGTAAATATTCTTGGAATGACTTTTAGTGAGTCACTACATATTGAAGATGCCCAGAAACCTGTACACGATCCCCAGGGTAATGATATCTGTAGTGAGAGTGACGAAAAATTGTGTGGAGCAATTAACAAGCAAGAGACAAAAGTAAACTCGATGTGTTTGACAAAATCTGCAACCTTCCCAACTCCTAATACAACATTGCCTTCAAGCTCGTCTGATGAGGAGGCCAATACATTGGTCACAGAATCACTATCTGAGCATTCTGCTCATCAAACTTACTCACGCTCAATATCTCTGCCTGTAAGTTCGTAGATTTACATTAATAGTATTGTACACTGTCACTAATGCTTGAATGTGATTTTGTAAAAGTATATGCTTGATTTGAGAAAATACTGAAAGATTTAGAATGTATCGTTTGGCTCGTTTCTTTAAATAAATTATTTGTTTTTAATTGACAATTTCTTTCAAGTACTCGCTCTAGGGTATTAGTTCATTGTGCTCTTTGTTCTGCTTTTTATTAAAGCGTTTGTAGATATTTTCAAGGGGGACCTGGTCTATCATATATGTCGTAAGCAAATTTATTTTGGTAGGCTGTTTTGAGGATCAACTGTTACCCAGATCGCAATCACAAAATGGCAATCTTATTCATGAAGGATTGCACAGAGTTTTTCTTGTTATGTAACACATTGGAAAATTTATTAAGTATTAAATTATGTTTATGCGTACCTTTCGACTCTTTCTCATTTTTGTTTTGAAACAATCATCAAGGAAGATTTTGTTCTGCCTTTTGGAACTATATAGCCATCGATTTTTCATTGCAACAGAAGGATTGGTGCTTTAAATCAACTCTACAATTTTTATATTTCCCATCTGAATATATTTCAAAACCTCAATATATTTCAACCCTTAAATTTTAATGTGTTTTCATGCCCATGTATATGTCCATTTTAACTTAGGAATCAGTTAATTACTTTGTTTTGAGAGTATCTCGAATTAGTTATATTTAGCATGTTTTCTTGTGGGTTTTTTGTTAGGTTTGCGTTTCTGTTGATAATGGAGTAAATGTATCTTGTAAGGTTAGTATAACATTATCTTTCACATATCCCCCTTTCTATGTGGCCCCTCCAGAGAGGAGTGAGATTTGAAGAGATTAGGAAGTTTTCATCGTACTATATATGCGACAGGTTGATGGAGTCACATTATCTGACGCATAGTTTTTTAACAGATATTGTGAACTGATATCTATCTTAGCATGTGCCATTTCTGGTTTATGGAGATTCAATTTTCCTGTATTTTATACCACAGGCTCCTCTGAAGCTCGTATCTGCCATGAAAGGTAGCCGTGAGAAACATGGGGGATCACAGGTGAAACTAAATGTGAAATGGGCCCCCGATGTGTATGATCCGATACCTACATTGTTATCACACACTGTCAAAAGCAACAAGAAGCAACAGAAATCTAGAAAGAAGAAGCCTGAAAAGAAGAATGGGAAGAAGGGTCAAAAGGGAAATTCGTCTCGAGGGGGCAACAGCAAAGATAAGCAGTTTCGCAAGATGAGTGGAACTTCTGGTTTGTGCTACAAGTCGATGGATTCTTGTGATAAAGTGCTTGTAGCTTCTACTGAATTAGATGCCCTTGATTCGAACTGTGGAACTAGCTTCTTGAAAAAATCAGTTACTGAAGTGCACTACTCAGTTGCAGAAGCGCTATAAGTGAAAAACAATGAATGGTTTGTATTCTTTCCCTTCTCTGTGTATATAAATAAGCACTGTTTTACTACTGTTGGCTTGTATGTGAAAAGAAAGAAAAAAGGATTGCATGGGGAAAAAAAGTTGTTTGACGCTCTTAGAGTACGGACAGTGAAGTTTGTATTTTTATATGCCATGATGTGATGAGACAAATTCTGGTAGATGATGCCATTTCTGTTTTCATGAAATCAATTTTAACTAGAGATTTTGGAATTCCTTTGGTGTTGATGACATGTCTGATTATGTTTAGTTTCATTTGCGATTTGAACGAGGCACGGGTTGTCTAAAACAAATTGTTTAGCGAATATCTTAAAAAAGGTTAAATAATTATTTTTTAATTATAAATTCAAATTCTCAGAATATAATATAAATAAAATTGTATAATAAAACGTTAGTATGAACGAATTTAGTTTTCTGAAAAACATTTTAAATACTTTAGCATCGTAAAGTAAAAGCTTTAGGGGAAATAATTTCTTTAAAGGTGATTTTAACTATTAGGCTAAATAAAAATATGAAAGTATATTTATTTTAATTTTAATTGGGAATTTATTTTCTCTGCTTTATTTTTGTTATGGATATTTACAAAAACTAAAATCTCACTCAGTTGGTATGTTTGTGTTATTAATTTTTTCTTCTTTTTTCTTAGTTTAAATTCGTAGTTAACCCAATAAATTTAATTAACCTTTGAATGAATTTTTATTAAAAGTAATATTAATTGAGTGTTTATTAATAAAAGGAGTAATATTGACAGACTCAAACATAACATTTCAAAATAAAGAAAAATAAGATAATGAAAAGCTAATGCATAGTATTCCCTCGTAAATAAAAGGTTTAATACATTACTTGATTCTTAAAAGGTTTAATACATTATTTGATTCTTATATTTATGGACTTGGTTTAAAGTGATTTTATCTTGTAAAAGAATACAATAAAATCCTATATTTTGTTAAAGAATTCAATTTAATTTTTTTCATTCACGTTGTTAAAAACATTATGGTGCAAATGTCACTGTGGCCAAAGTTGATATAATGCACCAGTTTTATACACTCACCTCTAGATTCTACCCTATATACTATTCCACTCAATAATAACTCAAAAATGATATAATTTACCAAACTTAACAACAAAATCATGACCAATAGATAATCTCTGCACCTCTCTCATCAATCTTTATATCTTCAAAGAAAACTCATTTAGCTTCCCTAGACCTATTTTATAGACCCAAAATTTAAAATCTGCACAACGAAAACCTTAGCCTGTAACCTTTCACCATTCTTATAATCCACCCATGCAACCCTAAAATACCATTTGCGTACTTTACCTATCAACAAGGGACATAACAGCGCATGCATAACAATAATTTCATGCATTTGGTAGTAACCATATTATGATTTTCCTCCCAAGGTAGGTACCACGAAAATCATTAAATGTCAATATCAAGAACCCCTTCTAACTCTCTGGATTCCAACATCAACACTATACAGGAAGAAAATATAATATTTCTCTTCATCTTACCGTGGTCCCCACATGCATTGAAACTCTTCACTTGCAAAAAGATACCTAGCTAGTGGCTTCCCCACGCCTTTGGGTCTCGCCGGATTCCCTCCAGTACCCACGGTTCCCCATCGGTCTCGGTCCGACACTGGTGGCGACGACATGATGAATGCGTTGAGTTATTTGACGAATATTCTCACTTTGAAGGTCTACGATGTAACAATTGAGTTCTCTTTACAATTGGCGCCAAAGCTTTATGGGAAACTCGGGTTTAAGGTTTGGCTCAAGAGAGAGGATTTACAACCCGTTTTCTCATTTAAGATTCGTGGAGCTCATAATATGATGACAAAGCTTCCTAGGGAGTTGTTGGAAAAGGGAGTTATCTGCTCTGCGGTGATTGTTATGTGAAGAGGGTTAATCCAAAGGTGAGGATTATTGGGGTGGAGCCCTCTGATGCAAATGCAATGGCGTTGTCATTCCATTATAATCAGAGACTGATTTTGGACCATGTTGGAGGATTTGTAGATGGTGTGACTGTTGGGATTTGCATCTAACTTACGTCATTTTAATTTTTTTTAAATATTTACACAGTACAACCTCTTCAAACGTGTCATGTATTCATCAAACTGCACAACTCATGCAGATTTGGCCACGATGGCATTTGCACAGTATGTTTTTAACGGCGTGAACAAAAAGGACCGGATTGAACATTTTTTAACGAAATACGGGTTCTTATTGAACTTTTTTAAAAAATAGAATCACTTTGAATCAAACCCCTAAAAATAAAGACTAAATGATGTATTAAACCTAAATAAAATAAGAATTGGATTTAAACATCTGAATATCGTTATGTTTTTGGATACCTTTACAATATAAGAAAGTATTAACCTCGCTCTTTAAAATATAAAATTATGAATTTTTTTCTTCTAGGCAACTCTAAAATCTTTTAAAATATAAAATTATGAATTTTTTTCTTCTAGGCAACTCTAAAATCTTTTAGAGTCCTTGTATTTTTGTCAAGAAGTCTTCATGTGACCCTCTCTCGTCACTTCACAACATGTCAACGTTAGCATTACTCTTACACATTTTATTAAAAAATTAAAATTGTTTAAATGATATAATGATTTTTATGTAAATTATAACAAAATGACAAATTTCAATTTTGTATGTAAGTTTAAAGACTAAAATATATACATATAAATTTTGATATAAAAACAAATTTGAATTTCATATATAAGTTTAAAAATTTATATATATATATATATATATATATATATATATATATATATATATTTGTGTACCTAATAAGCTATTAATATTTTTAGTAATTTAAATAGAGACAGAGATGAAGGTAGACACAGTAAATATATATAAATTCATTTACATTTCATATTGAAAAATTAAATATTATCTATACTCATACCTAATTGAAAAAACCTAGTTAATGTAAGAATTTTTCATCTAAATGAAAACGAATTTGGACAATATCCACAAGAATGAGTTTATTTGCTATTCCTACAGAGACTATACTATTAGAGAAAAAAAATATAAATAAATATTTTTTACAGACTTAAATAAAAAGTTTTATAATTGATTTTATAAAGTAGTAGATAATTTTATAGTATTTCATGCAAACTAANATTAAAAGTAATATTAATTGAGTGTTTATTAATAAAAGGAGTAATATTGACAGACTCAAACATAACATTTCAAAATAAAGAAAAATAAGATAATGAAAAGCTAATGCATAGTATTCCCTCGTAAATAAAAGGTTTAATACATTACTTGATTCTTAAAAGGTTTAATACATTATTTGATTCTTATATTTATGGACTTGGTTTAAAGTGATTTTATCTTGTAAAAGAATACAATAAAATCCTATATTTTGTTAAAGAATTCAATTTAATTTTTTTCATTCACGTTGTTAAAAACATTATGGTGCAAATGTCACTGTGGCCAAAGTTGATATAATGCACCAGTTTTATACACTCACCTCTAGATTCTACCCTATATACTATTCCACTCAATAATAACTCAAAAATGATATAATTTACCAAACTTAACAACAAAATCATGACCAATAGATAATCTCTGCACCTCTCTCATCAATCTTTATATCTTCAAAGAAAACTCATTTAGCTTCCCTAGACCTATTTTATAGACCCAAAATTTAAAATCTGCACAACGAAAACCTTAGCCTGTAACCTTTCACCATTCTTATAATCCACCCATGCAACCCTAAAATACCATTTGCGTACTTTACCTATCAACAAGGGACATAACAGCGCATGCATAACAATAATTTCATGCATTTGGTAGTAACCATATTATGATTTTCCTCCCAAGGTAGGTACCACGAAAATCATTAAATGTCAATATCAAGAACCCCTTCTAACTCTCTGGATTCCAACATCAACACTATACAGGAAGAAAATATAATATTTCTCTTCATCTTACCGTGGTCCCCACATGCATTGAAACTCTTCACTTGCAAAAAGATACCTAGCTAGTGGCTTCCCCACGCCTTTGGGTCTCGCCGGATTCCCTCCAGTACCCACGGTTCCCCATCGGTCTCGGTCCGACACTGGTGGCGACGACATGATGAATGCGTTGAGTTATTTGACGAATATTCTCACTTTGAAGGTCTACGATGTAACAATTGAGTTCTCTTTACAATTGGCGCCAAAGCTTTATGGGAAACTCGGGTTTAAGGTTTGGCTCAAGAGAGAGGATTTACAACCCGTTTTCTCATTTAAGATTCGTGGAGCTCATAATATGATGACAAAGCTTCCTAGGGAGTTGTTGGAAAAGGGAGTTATCTGCTCTGCGGTGATTGTTATGTGAAGAGGGTTAATCCAAAGGTGAGGATTATTGGGGTGGAGCCCTCTGATGCAAATGCAATGGCGTTGTCATTCCATTATAATCAGAGACTGATTTTGGACCATGTTGGAGGATTTGTAGATGGTGTGACTGTTGGGATTTGCATCTAACTTACGTCATTTTAATTTTTTTTAAATATTTACACAGTACAACCTCTTCAAACGTGTCATGTATTCATCAAACTGCACAACTCATGCAGATTTGGCCACGATGGCATTTGCACAGTATGTTTTTAACGGCGTGAACAAAAAGGACCGGATTGAACATTTTTTAACGAAATACGGGTTCTTATTGAACTTTTTTAAAAAATAGAATCACTTTGAATCAAACCCCTAAAAATAAAGACTAAATGATGTATTAAACCTAAATAAAATAAGAATTGGATTTAAACATCTGAATATCGTTATGTTTTTGGATACCTTTACAATATAAGAAAGTATTAACCTCGCTCTTTAAAATATAAAATTATGAATTTTTTTCTTCTAGGCAACTCTAAAATCTTTTAAAATATAAAATTATGAATTTTTTTCTTCTAGGCAACTCTAAAATCTTTTAGAGTCCTTGTATTTTTGTCAAGAAGTCTTCATGTGACCCTCTCTCGTCACTTCACAACATGTCAACGTTAGCATTACTCTTACACATTTTATTAAAAAATTAAAATTGTTTAAATGATATAATGATTTTTATGTAAATTATAACAAAATGACAAATTTCAATTTTGTATGTAAGTTTAAAGACTAAAATATATACATATAAATTTTGATATAAAAACAAATTTGAATTTCATATATAAGTTTAAAAATTTATATATATATATATATATATATATATATATATATATATATATTTATATGGATAAAAAAATTAGTAACTGTCATAATATTGTAGTTTTATTATTAATTTTATTTTTATTAATATAAATTATTTTATTATTTTATTTTTAAAAAAATTTATTTTAAAATTAAATTAACTCTATAGTAAAATTATATAAATTATTTATTTTTAACTATTTATTTTAAATATACTTTTTAAAAATCTAATAATATTTGTTATTTTAACGTGACAAAAATTAAATTTTTATTTTTTATAATCATAATAAAAAAAAAACGGATCACAATATATGCATGTACTCCCTGTAGTATATATATGTGTTTTGTAACCATAAATAAATTGTACTTATAGTAGAAAGAACACTTTTTTAAAAAGAATAAGTAGAAACAAACTCAGTTAGTGCGTGTTTAGTTTATGTTGAATCAAGCAACTTAAACTATTTTAATGCATAAAACTCTGTTGGGTGTTGCTCCCTTCGTCTCCACCCTATACTTTCTTCACCTCCCCATATTATTTTAAATACAATTATATCATTAAGTTAAAAAGATTTTTACTTTTACCCTATTTTAAATAATTTGAAATCCTAATTTTACTTTCCCAGCACCCACCTCCGGAACTCTCTTCCCATTTCTCCATTTTCGTTTTACCTCCCCACCTCCCGCACTTCCATTCCTTTTTCTTCCCAGATTTTTTTTCTGGTTTGAAAGCTTTCATTGTCGCCATGGTGTGAAGGAGCGTCGCCGCCGTGGTGTGGAGGAACATCGAGGAGCGTCCAGAGCATCAACTAGCGTGAGGAAGTATACATCAAACAAACTCTAAAATAAAAAACGTAATCCGTTTTTCCTTAAAACGGATGTTGACATCCGTTGAAGGATGTTGACATCCGTTGAAGGATGTTGACATCCGTTGAAGGATGTTGACATCCGTTGAAGGATGTCACCTCCGTTTACGTTTTTTATTTTAGGGTTTTATTTCAAGGTTTATTCGAATACGAGGAAGCACGACACGCACTGCACCACTCCACGCACTGCACCACTCCACACACTGCACCATGAGAGCGACACTGCACCACGAGAGGGAGACTGCTTGATAATTCTTTCCATCACCACCAACCTTTGCAACTTGTAGTATCTCACAACGACGAAAGAAAGAAAGGAAGAAATATAATGTTAAAAATGAAAGAAAAGTATTTTACTCATGTACGGGACTAGAATATGTTATTATTGAAATATGTTTTTAATTGTTAAAATTAAAAAATAATAACCCTAAAAATAAAATTTTACTGAGGGAAAAAATAGTAAAGGGGAGGTGGAGGGAGAAAGCTGTGGTGGTGGAGGGAGCAACACCCAACTCTGTTATAGGTAAAATCATATTGAAACTGAAAAAACTAAATGATTATAGTAGGGCCATTTCTTTCTACACCTCAGATTTTCTTCCTACAATACCCATGCAAGGCCTTTCTCTTAGGTTTTAAGTAATGCAAACGAGTGGGGCCCACAGGGATATTTATTTTTTTGTCCTTTTGATGGATGCAGAAAATAAAAGTAAGGGCGTAAAATGGGGGTTTCTTGTAGTACGCCCTAGGGCCGACAACTTGAAAGAGGGTTTTTATCGGTTGCATGAATGTGTGGACCCATGCTGTATTGGAAAAAAGATGATAATGCATAAAGGAAGTTCTCACGTGCATAAGAGGTTGTGTGTGTTACATTTGAGTAAAAAAAGGTGTCATTGAAGTTAAAAAGAGACATTGATATGTTAACAATTTTTTTATAATGTTATTGTTTTATTGATATATATATATATATATATATATATATATATATATATTTAAAACGGACTAATCACAAACTACCACATAAGATATTGTAAAAATATTGTCAAAAAAAGTTGTTAAAAGAATATTTTTCTTAAAAAAAGTATAGGAAGCAGAACCGTGAATGGATTTGAAAATAAAAATTATATATAGTGCGTGAGTGAGGTTCTTTTAACATAAGCTTATATATCTCCTGTAGTTTAAAATAATGGGTTAGGACTAAAAGATAGGAGAAGATTATCTTGAACGACTGTTAATGGTTTATGGTTTAGGGGTTAGGGGTTAAGGGTTGGGGTTTAGGGTTAGGGTTAGGGTTAGGTTAAGTATTGGATTTAATTTATTTTTTGTTCAAATCTGTGCATTTATGTTCATATATTTATATTATGTTTTTATATTTATATTCCGTTTTTATATTGTTTTAAATAATTATATATATCAATTGTACTCTCTCCTTATATGATGGAATAATATACACAACTTTCATCCTTTCTTTTCTGTATTAGAAGAAAATTAATTCTTGATCACCAGCTTCTATTACTCTTGAGAATTCCATTGTTTGTTCTAAAAAAGACTTAGCTCTATAGATATTTGGCACTCTAGACTAGGGCATCCTTCTTCTTCTTGTTATATCAAATTACACACCAAGTATGTCACTTTACCTGATACAAAATACACTCATTGTGATACTTGTCACTATTCTAAGCAAAGGAAATTACCTTTTCAATTAAGTACTATTGTTTCAAAGGCTCCTTTTGATTTAATTCATGTTGATATTTGGGGGCCCTATTCTACTTCTTCTGTTGATGGTTTCAAATATTTCTTAACTATAGTGGATGATATGTCTAGACACACATGGATTAAATTGATGGCAAGTAAGTCAGATACAAGATCACAACTTATTGGCTTTGTTTCTTATATCAAAACACAATTTGGCATTGATGTAAAAGATGTTAGATCAGATAATGGTAATGAGTTTGTGTTGGTGGATTTTGGCAAGCACACCGAATCGTTTCAAGTAATAAACCATGGTAAGACTAGATATCGTTTTCCCAAGAGACTCGTAATACTAGAGAATTGTGCGATTAACAACTCATCTAGACTCAATAGAACAACATTCATTTATAAATATGTGCAACAAGATAAATTCACAAATATACAATGGTTGGACTTTGGTCATTAAAGACACTTAGATATGGACAAGACTAGAAATGGTAAGAAATGACATTGTTAAGGTTAATTTTCACCTATTTCACTCTTGTGCCTACCCTATTTCATCTCCTCTCCATCAATTTACCAAAGTCAATCCACAAAAACACTCTAACCCTAATCCCTTAGGTGAAAGAGTCTAGGTTTTCCCTATTAAACTCCAATCCCTTGGAAAATCTAACAAGCAAATCCACATTAATGAGCTAGGATTTTAAGACAACATGTGAATCATCTTCCATCCCTAGAATCAATGACCACAAGGACTTTTGTTTCAGTTCTAGGTTCCATCTTACTTTCCTATAATCCATGAAACCTCAAAATCAAGTCATGAACATTCCTATTACATGCAAGCTTTAAGATTGGAAACAAGAATACTAGCAATTGATAGAAAAGGCATATATAAATACAAATCAATTATCCATTATACAAGAATTCATAGGCTACATCTAACCATAACAAGATGAATTTGGTTCTCCACTTCCATGGAGAACCCTAGAGCTTACAAACATGGATGGAAGAAGAAGGAAACCCAAAGGAAGAGAAGGAGATGTTCCCACATGCTCCTCACGCCCTTCATGAGCTCCAGCAGTGAAATCGCGCCTCCAAAGAACCAAAGACCTAAAGCCCTTCGCGTTTCTAAGTTAAATAGACAAATCTTCCATGTCAGCAAAAAATGGCGCTCCAGCCCCCCTGTGTGAGGGGCGCCCCAGTGCGCGACAATCATGATGCAGTGGCGCTCCAACGCCCTTGAGCTAGGGGGCCCCTAACTAGGTTCAGCAGCACTGCTTCGTTTTTTGGTTTTTCTGCAGATTTGCTTGCTTTTGTGCCTGGTTCAGTTCTCTACATTGTTGGAGATTCTTCCAAGCACATCATTAGCTACAAAATAAATGGATTATAGATGAAATTACATCAAAGTATCCCAAAACACAATTATTCATAAAACTAAGATAAAAGAGAGGATTAAGCAAATTACAAGCTAGAAAAGAGTTGATTTTTCTACTAAATTCATGCTCAGAGAATGGTAAGAATTAGCATTATCAATTTGAAATGATAGATTTTTATAGACAAAAAGGGATACAACATCAATTATCTTGTGTTGAAACACCTCAACAAAATGAAGTTGTTGAGAGAAAACATCAACACATTCTCAATGTTGCTAGATCTTTAATTTTTCAATCCCATTTTCCCATAATTTTCTGGTCTTTTGCTGTTCGTTATGCTGTGCAACTCATTAATATTTTATCTTCCAAAGTTTTGACA